GGCGCGCGGCGGCTCGAGCCAGACGAGCGGCGAGCCGCGCCGTAGTCGAACGTGCGTCGCGTTGTCCTTCGAATTGCGGTACGAACGGCACGGAATTACGTGCGTGATCCTGTCGTTGACGTCTTCTTCGTTTCTTGTAGTGTGCACTTGGCGATGCGGAAAGAGAATGGCCGTGGAATGGCCGTCTACCGTAGAGGAGAGCCGCGAATTCGTCGATTGTCTTTTCCAACGGACGTGTGAATTTAAGTGCGCGCTTATTTTAGTGCCCTCGATTGGATACGCGTTTTCAAGATTCGCGGGTACACGTTAATCCGTGTGCACGAATTTAAAGTACCTTCGTTCACGTGTACCTGTGTATGTGACGTATCCGTGTGTGTGTGTGTGTGTGTGTGTGTGTGATACGTGCGCAAATATTTATGAAAATTTGATGAAAGTTTCTCCGTTTCTGCATATGTTGTTCGACATATGTACGCGCATAATTCCAGCGTTCCAAGTTTTATCCAGACTTTGTCACATAATTCTCAAAATATTTCCCTGTGAGGTATACGCGGGCTACACGTTTACGCGCGTCACATACACGGATATTCGCGTACACGTTCGCGGATTCGCGCAAGTACAGATCATTTTACCGGCTACGAAATATTTCGAGAGATATTTCGGATGATTGTCGAATACATAAGAATGGGCTGTGAACGAGCCTTAATGCGTGGTCTACAATGCGAGTCGCAGTCGTAAGAATAATCGACTGCGATTGGTCAATTTCGTCAGACACATAAGAATTGACCAATCATCGTAGTATCGCGGGGGCCGACGGTTATCGGCGCTGGTCTGTTCGTGAAGCATCGCGGTCATTCGATTGGCTCGCGTAAATCTGTGGCGTAAGTAATCCAGTAATTTCACCTTAAGCCTCCGCTACAATGATTCTCGGTTCTGTCTACAATGGTCGTACAGTTGTATCGATGGTCGCTTGAGCAGTCGCAAAGCAGTCGTAGTCGTAGTCGCTCGAATAGGTTCAATTCCTATTCCAACGACCACGACTGCGATTTATTGCCGTGACGGACCAATCAGAGAATAGTGTTATATGTCGTGTGTCATTATATGTCGAATATATCGTGGGAAAATACCTCAAAAACAGAAAATCGGTTTCAGTTATACTGCATCGATACGACCCAATCCATGACTCTACGATTCATGGGCGTATCCAGACTTTTGTCTAGGGGGGGGGGCAGAACAGGATTCACTCGTAGGTGAATTATGCAGCATAAATTAAACTACGTACTTATAAAAAAAATTTTTTTATTTATATAAAAATTAATTTTCTGGAGTCCTCGGCAAATCTATTAATTATATTATTCGTAATCTCAATGGGGATCTCATTGAGTCTAGGGGAGGGGGCAGCTGCCCCCCCTGCCCCCCTCTGGATACGCCCATGGCTCGTACTCTCCTGGAATTGCCCATTTCCTCTCCGAAGATCTCGGAATCGGTAACAGCTGGGGGAACCCGCGGTGTGTTCGCGCACGCTGATTGATTTAACAATCCAATTTTGTACTCACGACCACGATTTTTGCCCGCTCTTGCAAATCTTCTTTGCGACCACCGCAAAATAGGCAAGGAAAACGCGACGATCGCGGTTCGCGCATAATAACGGACTAGTGGCGCCACCTGGCGCGGGGGATTCAAACGCAATCGATAATACCAGAGAGAAACCCGAGAGCGGCACAGGAGTTTGACATCCATTTTTTTTACATCCACTTTTAGTTTAATATCAATGACGTAGTGTTGTAAGTTTTCGAAAAGAATATTATTCTATTTGTATTGACTTGCGTTGATTTCGTTTTGTGGTCAACATACATTCAAACATACTCAGATGCTTTATTTCACACAAGTAACAAATAACGTAAAAATGTAACACACTTACCTCACGTTTTTTCCGCTGTTGCCCGATGCCTGGCTGGGCCTGCTCCTCCTCCCAGATTTCCTTGTGGCACTTCACAAAACACTTCACTCGCGAAAATCATCGATCGCGCGAAATTTCGGACACTCCCGTACGCGACGTGAAATACCGCGAAACGCACGAAATATTATTAACAAATAGCGCGTGACTTTCCGTCATACAAATTACTCAAACAACTTGCATTTTTGATTCGGAAGAATGGATAAATCACTATTGAATTGGCGATATAAAACGCAACGCGAGCATCGGAAGCATAATCTGCGGTGAAGAAGTAGTTATTAGTTCGCAACGAAACGATATTTTACAATCTTTGTCATTCAATTTAATCCTCGAAATAAATTATGTGAGCAAAATTTCCAGCGATCAATAGTTGTTATTAATTGCGAAAGATTACACGAAATCGATAGATAATTAAAAGCGCGGTGCGTAAACGAGATGTAACCGCGACAAAGTACCACGATTTACATTTATATTTTACAATTAGATGAGTTAGTCTCGTGAAATATCTATGTACGTTGATAAAGAACCGTCGCCTCAACATACAATTCGTTTCTCATTATAAGTTGTATAAACTTAATAATTAATCGAGGAACGTTACTTGTTACTGATAAAGGTGTGCAAATCAATAGTGATTTATCCCTGCATTTATCGCGATCGAGTTTTGAAAACCGATAACGCAAAAGTATAATAACGTACGCGCGGAGCGACTCTCGCCACTGCTTGCCGGCTCGACGTTCGGCGAGCGAGTGACAGCGGCGGCGGCCTTCAGGTACACGCTGGCATGCAAAAACATCGTACGTCGCCGCGCCGAGAGAAAAACAACTACGAACGTTGAGAATTCGTTGTCCCGCCTACGAAATTGAAAATTACGTACTTAATATTCTACATTACTTTGTCTCGTGACTGTTACTACGTTTTGCGTATCATTCTGCGGACTTATTGGTATTGATTAAATTAACGATTAATTCTGTTCACTCGAGAAAATGTATCGGAACAAAAATCATGGGTAAGATTTAAAATGTACGTTCGATGATTATGGAAGTTTTTTTGATTTGCAGGAGATAAAATATTTGACTTTTAGCATTTAAAATAATTTATTTATCAATATGAACAAGAAGATGTTATGCAATAGACATCGACGAGCCACGGCCAATTGTCGTTAATAACGGTTAATCACTTTCGTCGCAACGCATGTGCACACGCGAGCTTACTTTCGCAGATTTGCGTGTAAATGATTGCGTATTAATGTTAACAAGAACATACGTCGCGCACCGTGCGTCGTCGATAATCCATTCGTAAGGCTAGAATACAAAATATCTTTCGAATTTTGCGCGAATCCAATCATTAGATTATCCACGTACTTATTCACGTAAAAAGTATCCATTTGTGAAGTCGAGAATCGCAAGGAACTTTCTCTCATTGTCAGTCCAATATACAGAATAAGTCGAGAGAGAGAGAGAGAGCAAAATTATGAAACATCTCCCTTGAAGATAAATACTGTCCCTTCGAGGAAGTTTAACTCTTTTGCTTCCAATGACTCATTTTGCATAATTTCCAATAAAATAACTCACGGTGGATGGAAAACTGTTCCTCATTTCACATTGTCACGACTTGATTTCATTATACATAACAAGCTTGATGATTTTTATATAATAATCTCCCTCTGTCATTTTGCTACAATATCCCGTAATTAGACAAATAGAAAAAAAATTAAGGCTCGCGTGTTGTTTTTCAAAATCCGATTAGATTTTGGCGGACTGAATATTCCGAATGACTCGCGTTAACTAGACTTGCATAGTAGGTGTTTGTTTACAGTATACAGTGTAAAGTATTGTCAGTGGACGGGTCATTCGTCATAGATCGTTGAAAATATTTGTTTTTGGCAGCTCTATCAGGTCGATTCAGGACACCGGTAATATGCAATAAAACTCCGAGTGTCAAAAGTCACGAATAGTTTGCAGATATAAGCGCGAGTATTTGTCAATATAAATTTCAATTGACTTGATACAATTAAATGCGAGCACTCGAAAGGGACAAAAAATTATTTCATAACTGTATATCGTGCAACAGTGAAAATTAGGGGGAGGGGATTGTCGCAAATTTCTTTTTTCCTAATTTTATTAGTCAAAATGAAGTTTCTCTCGCGACACATATAAATAATCAGCTCCGATTCGAGCCCCAAATATATTTTATTATATTTACAAATCACAATTATAAAAAATTTTCAAAAGGCATTTCATTGTTTGGAAAACAGACCGTCTTGAGTACCCGCTCTTTAGTATCGAGTATAAAAATCACATGAGATACTTTGCGTTAGGGATGTCCTGAGAGTAGCCCGGAGAAAGGCGATCCTGCGAGGGGGAGAAGGCGTGGAAATGGCGTGCAAAAAAATATTGTTTTTATTGGATAGAGAATAGGATAGTACTTGGACGATTCGTGCCCGTGGCCGAAGTCTCGACTGAGCGAAGTATCGAATGATTCATCCGACGTGCACGGATACGCCATTTGGCCCGCTAAAGCGTTTGCAATAGACGAACGTAATAATAATATAGCGCGGTAGCAACACTTTGTATTCCGCGATTTCGAGCTCTAAGAGAGCATCTTGTCCTCGGGAATAGTCGGACTGGTAACCGACGGAGCCGCGGATGAGCGCCTCATTGCCTCGGATTCCCGAAGAGCTTCGTCAAAACTCTGCGTCGAGCCGGACCTTGAAGGCACGACTTTTGTCTGCGAAAAGAGAATTGAATCCTTGAATAAAAGATAAAGAAATTTCATAAATTCCAACATGCAATAAAATTTACGCTATTTTATTTGAATCGTCTGTAAGTCTAGTTTATGTATATTTAAACAGCGCCAATTCCACGTTGCGGCAGAAAAGTGAAATGGATTTTGGCCTGGTTGACCACGACGACGACCACGACGACGACCACGATGACGACGTTTCTTTAAAAAATTACGTGAAAATTCAGACCCGTGGACTTTGCATTGCAATATCTCTACTCATGGGGCATGTAGGAGAAAAGTAAAAATACTTTTATTATGCAAATCGTACCCAAGCTATCGATTAAGCGCAGTCTCAACTTCGTCGGAACAGCCGTTGTTGAGATCCGAAATTCTGAGGGCCCGTCAACTCGTGTACTCGCGTAAACTTACACGGTCGGTCTCGCGCGCGCGGTGCTAGCTGCGCTTACACTTGGCGCGAGACACTACCGTGTCTCGTGATACGTGAAAATTGGGAATTTCAAAGACCACGCTTTCAGTGTGTATAAGACACAAAATAGGTCATTTGAAAGATAAAATTAATACAAATATTTGTTTAGTAAAATTATTCGATTTAATTTTAGTCACCTTGATGTTCTCGCAGGCGGATCCAACCCTTTCCTCCAGCGACCGGAAGCTGTCGGAATTGCGCATCTGGCCTAGTTTCATGGAGATACCGCTACCAAAACCACCTAAAATGCTAGTCGTCTTCTCCGCCGTGGACTTGAGTACAGATTCTGTCTTTTGGTATCTGATATCACAAAAAAGTGAATATTTAATCGTTAAAACAATTTATTATACATTAAAACAGTTTATATTAAATTTTTTTTTATTCTTAACACAGATTATCTTCTAGCAAGAATTGCGTAAATTAATTTCTAATCGGCACAAAGCTCGGGCATAAGATAAAGTTAGCGTTTATTGTGTTAAACTTTGGTTTTGTTTGAAGCAAATGTAAGGCGATATACTGTACTAATAGCGAATTCGTCGGCGGTTAAAATTATGAAAATTAAGTTCCCAATAAATGTGAGTTGTCTCTAAAACAAATTGTGTCTTTGCTTCGAGGGTGAATATATTACCAGAATTCGATGACTTGTTTCAAAAGCACTCTATGAATATATTAGATGTGCAAATTAATTCAGCCTTATATCAGCGTTTGGAGATTTAATATTTTTTGTCATTATGCGGTTTGCAAATGCGGCTCTATATGTTTTAAAAATACTATATGATTTAGAAAAGCAGACAGAACAAAGGCATCCGAAAAGCAGCATTTAAAGGAATGCATTTTTTTCAGATTTTCATTCAAACCGAATGTTGCTGAAATGATTTATTCTGCTCTGGATGAGAGCGATGCTTAAAATAGTTTTACAGTTTTGAGAACTAGGCGAATTATTTTGCAGTACAATGTCATACCGTAAATAGAGCAAAAAACCCATGTTTTGACCTGGAAAAAATTTTCTCATTCAGATTCAGATCTGTCGGATTCTCATTTATTTCGATTGTTGCAACATCTGATACCATTTCAAGACAGTAGAAGAGGTCGGAAAAAGTCTTGAAGACTCTATTGATTCAAACCGCGAAGTTTCTTCTACGAAGGTATTGTATTTGTCAGCTGTCCAATAAATAGGGCACCATTAGAGAAAATAATAGATTTAAATTAAAGCAGGAGAAACTATTATATATGAGCACTGCTAATATTATTTTAAACTGTATTCTCTTTAATAATTGATACAATTAATTAAGTAAACATTTCAGCTTTAATAAGTCTTATTCACAACTTATGCTATAGTTAGCCCTTCTCCCCCTCAATTTGCATTGCATTAAACGAGCTTAATATTCTTTTAGTATAATAGAGATTATTTCGAACATTAAACTTGTAGTTGACTTTTTTGTGAATAACCTTTGAATTTTGTGAAACAAGACACTGAAGTAATTTACACACCTAATAAATATCGAATAATGTGTTGTTAATACGATGTAGAATATCACTGCGAATCGGGTTGCGACGAGGGAAAAATGAGACACTATGTGCGTACTTACAATCTGTTAGCAGAGATTGTCCTGGTTAAGCGACCGAATGTCTCGCCGACGTTCTGATAACTGAGTAAGAACCCAACGAAAAGTGAAAAAATCAATGCTTCTACGTGTGTCTAAAGAGTAGAAGTGGAGTATCAACATAAAAAGAGTGATCATCGTCGCTGCTTCGTTAGAGAGGAAAGCAAAGAGATAAAAAAAATAAAAGAGATGAATAAGAAAATTAAGATTAGTAAAGAAATTAAAACTAAGATTAGTAAAGATAGTACAGAATAGTTTAAACAGTAAGAGATTTAGTAAGCGCGATTCACGTATTTTTCAAAGAGTACTGAATATTTCTTTAATGTGCAATACAATATTTCTCGCGAGTTTAAAAGTATTTTATTTAAATTATCTCGTAGATGCGGTGATCCTGTTATGATTTACATATCCACTTCTTCCTCATAAAATATAGTACAGTGCATAGAACATGTATAGTGTACATGTATGTGCAGAATATACGAACAGACCAAAGAAGCATGCGAAGCAAGCAAAGAAATAACAGGATACATACACATGACTCTCTTTAACGTTCTTGAGTCCCTGATTGACATCGTCGGTAAGCTCCTTCCAGACACTAATGCCAAGCTTCCTCTTCAGGTCCTGGGAAACCTTGATCTTGTTGGCGAGAACGTGTCTCAGAGTCTGTATCTCTTCTTCGACCTAGAATTGATTTTTATTATTCCTTTTCAGGATTTTCCTGGATTTCCGAGACTTACCTTCGCTAACTCGGCGCTCCATTCAGCCCTTTGTTGCTCCTGCTCCTCCAAGGAGAGTCCTTGAAGCTCGTTTGCCATGTTATCCGACGATGGCGACAGAGAGCCGGCCGAGTGGAGCGAGGCATCTTCACCTGGAACAAAAGAAAAAGGAAAAAAATTAGTCTTAAGGTATATAATACCATGACGGTCACGCTAACTGCTCGGGAGGATCAGTTTTCTTAGATTGTGACTTAATACATTAAAATTATTATGTTACATATGGAAAGATAACATATAGATACATGTCAAACTATTAAAATAATTTTCTGAACAAGTAAAATAAAAAATTATTATAATATCGAAATTGAAAATGAAAAATTAAAATTAGAAATAAAAATTAGAGTTCGAGATTGAAAATTAAATTTAAAAATTAAAATTGCACACATATTTAAATGACGTCAGAAAGATATCTTATTTAGCTCTTTAATCCAGAGCGGATAAAATTTATTTAATTATAGCGTATGTTTGTCTGCACAAAATGCAAATACGATCGACTATAATTAATTAATTACTCTCAGGAAGCAATTGCTTTTTCCGGCAAATGATTTTGATTGTTTCGCTGATTTCGTTATATTGCAGAGGAATGCGTGCAGTTGTGCAGTTTCAGCAGAGCGAGACGTCGCTCTAGAAAAATTCAAAGTATGTTTCCACGTCGTTGTACTCGATAGTGATTCCATGATCCGTTTTCGTGTACTTTCACGCGTCGAGAAGAAATAAATCGACGTCGAGGAGCTGCTAGACGTAACCACGAAATTTCTCATGTGAAAGTACACAATTATTATGCTAGAAATTAAATAATTAAGCACTCATTTAAGGAGCTACACCGGCGACAGGTGAAACAAGGCAATTTTTCCAGAATTTTTTCCACATAATTAATTATATGAATAAAAAATTGTAAACTGTCTCAGAAAACAAAAACAAAAGAAATTCCTTAAAGCAGAAAGATAAAACTAATTTAAAAAAAATGTTATTTTATTTAAAAAAATAGTTGGGTTTTTGAAGTATAATTTGCAAGTACTTAAATTACTTTTTTTTTAATTAGTCGTCATTGCTATGTTACAGCCTGATGAATGGGATAGGTTCTTCGCGTACAAAGCCAAAAAAAATCTCTTCTTATTTGTCTTATTTGAAAACAAAACCAAAAGAAATTTCTTAAAGTAAAATATAACACTAGGTCGTAGAATTTTTGTATGATTTATAGTTTTCTTTTTCATCATCAAAAATTAATGAAATTATACGAATTCAGAGATTCAGCGAAATCCGAAACGACTTCTCTTTACTTTTCGCAAATCAGAAGTATAAAAGCGGTGAAGCTTTTCTTCTCTTCTCTCAGCACCTTTCATCAGCTCGAGCAACTTCTTGTAATTCTCGCTGTTGCTGATCTTGGCGAGGTAAGGTTTGGAGAAGTCCTGGAAGATCACGCGGATCGACCGCTTCTTCCTCTTACGGCTTCCTTCTAGTGATTCTCCCTGAATTTCCGTCGCGACGGACAGGTCGTCTCCACGATCGTCCACGACAATCTCGTCGATCTCCCCGTTGGAGCCGCGCCAGCAGTGAACCACCAGCTCGTCCACTTCTTCGTCCAGTTCGTCGATGTCGTCGAAGCTCGGCGTCGTTGTCAGTTTCGAGTAATACGCGTCCTCCTCGTACTCCAGCGACTCAAACTCGCGTTCATTCTCACTCGGGCAATTCTCCTCGCTATGTTCCTGGCAGACTTTCCCGCGCGGTTGGCTAGTTTTTGGATCTACAGATTGTTCAGGATTTGCCATGTTGTCTCTCATGATCTGCCCTCAGAAGATATGAAAACTTGCTGCAAAATTCGTCTCCAAAGTCTTGATCTGAGAAGGATACGTAGCAGAAAATTGGTTGAAGAGGATAAGCTTCGGAGTAATTCAGTATGATCTTCGTGATCTTCTTTGAGAGAAACTCTTTTTAAATTCTCGACAATTCAAAAGATCAACTGATCTAAGAGGAACGTCAGAAAGTTTTTGTTGAAATCTTCAATAAATAATAATAGATCGAAGGATATTTCGAACCAATTCTTCTTCTTTTTAATAGTATGTGTCCACAATATTATCTTCGGACAAGTAGGCACTAAGACGCGCCGCGTAATTACTTTTTGGGGGAGACAAATAAGCTAGGACTAGACCAGGATTTGAACCTAGGACCTTTCGCTTGCCGAGCTCTTTCTACTGAGCTATCCAGGCCCACACTCGATACTCTTCTCGCTTGCCTGCTCGATTTCACCGAATAAAGTAGGAACAATGCTAGCAGTGCGATTCCAGAACGATGCTTGGTATCCCACAGCGAGCTAGTTTGAGATCTTCAAAATGTTGCTCCACTGTCATCCAAAATTTGTCCTCGGAAATATATTTCGTAAATAAAGAGATTCATCTATGATTTAATTTAATATGTTGCACAGATCACAATTTCACGATTTAGGATCGATGAAGAAGTGACTGTTAAAAATTACAGAGACACGTGTCTTCTCACGCCATCCCGGCGGAAACAGATGGTTTCAGCGTCTATCACAAATCTATCACATTTAATCGCTCACGTCTCGCCAAGAGCGCGCGAATTATACGGAATTCAAAAGTGCTAACTTAAAAGCGCGTGCGATCAGCTTTCGTTCCTGACAGGATCGATTTCCAGATCTACGTCGCGATGCATGATTTAACGACTGTATGCAATCCGTGCGTTCGCGATGGCTCGGCGAAATACGACCACGTGCACTGACGTGTGCACATACGACTAACAGCTGTGTGCCTCGAGAGCCTTGATGCCGACGTCGCTGATCGCCAGGATACCACCGCGTTTCTAAGAAATCGAGACGCTGCTCTCGCTCTACCTTAGCGGGAAACGAAGAGCGAGAGGGCGAGCGGAAGGGGCAGGAGAGGGGGAAAGAAAAAAAGAGTGGAAAAGGAAAGGAGGGAACGGACAGGTGGCCTTGGTTCTTCATCATGAAATAGAACTTGGTATTGTGATTTTACGGATTGGAAATCCACAATGAAGAAGAAAAAAAAAGAGGAATTTCAGTAGCGGCGAGATAAATCTACCATAGAATGCACAGACGAAGAAATAAATGTCACTGTTAATTAATTAATTAAAGTTGAACGAAGCGCGCAAAGGACCGATTTGAATCTCGCCTACTTGTTCCTTGTCACTCTTTAACATCGAGAGTTTGCAATAAATCGACCATTTTTTTAAATTAACTTAGAGCAGCAGCAATATTAATCATTGTCGCTCGAGTTTAGTTACGTTCTCGTTCGGTCGCAGTGACTGTAGTCTTCCTACGGTATACAGGGCGTTTCAAAGGCGGAGGCCAACGTTCGTTTAAGAGACGATTGGGACCAAGAAACAGGGGAAAAAGGTCTGTACAAACCGAAGAGGAAATCGCTGACTAAAATCTTGTACACCAATGCCCACTAATGCCCAGTGGGCATTACTTTATCTTATTTCAGCTTATTTTACCTTATTTTATCTTTATAATGCTCCAGCAAGGCCTAATGCCCAAACTAATGCCCAAAAAATGCCTAGTAATGTCACAAATCTGTACACCACAATGCCCTCAGCCGTTTCCCCCTCGGTACAAACGTTTGTCCGGAAATGCGTTCTTTTCGAGTTATTGCTAGTTTTATGTTGCAGAAATTTCACATTGTCTAAAATTTTTCGTCGAAATTGAAAGGAGGTAGTGACTTTCACGGGTTTTATAACGTAATTGAAGCTCAAATAAATGTGAGCCGCTTTAGCACCCAGGACGTGCCCGCAGGTAGGCGAGATCCTGCAGCTCGACGCGCCAATAAGAGACTCTCGCTAATTCTCGCCAATGCCTCGCGCCCAGCCTGTTCTCTACGGGATATCCTGAAATTACATTGCCGACACACGTGGCGTTTGCTGATTCAATCCTCTCGCGTTTCCGTTCGTTCTATTTAAGTTATTGGCGGCGGGCGCGTAAAACTGCGGGAAAAGTAGGCTAAAGATAGTCGTAAGGAGAAATAGAGAAAGAGAGAGGAAACTAGGCGCGATCCGGCGCTCTGATTGGTTCATCGACCTCTTCGACGGAGCGCTCCGCTTGTTTTTGCGATCGATGATGAAAGCGCGGAAGCGTGGCGAAGATGTATAATAAAAGTTCCTGGAACTTGGCGGAAACCTTCGGCAAACCGGTCTATCGATCCGACTCGCCGGCGGATTCTTGTCCATACTTAGCAGTACGTGTTTATCGCTAAAAGCGACCGTCTGAATTGCATTCAACTCAAACATCGGATTGAAACAGAAAAAAGAGCCAAAGAGTCTTGAGAAATGGAGTCTTGTGTAACCGTAACATCGATTTAACAAACGTTTTACCCTTCCTTTTAACGCTTTCGGCGAAACTCTGTCCGCTCAGTTTTATTTATCTTTATTTCTCAGTCTTTTAAATCGGAGAAACTTTAAAGTAAACTACTTGCTTACTTTCATTCGCTTATCTTCGTTTTCAACTTTATACAGTCGTCGCGCGGGCTTTTTAAAATAAATATTATTTTCCAAATTAAGATCTTTCTTTATGCGCTACATACCCGAAAACACGCCTAATTAAACAAAGGCAAATATTCGAGATCTCGACGTAAAAGATATGAATTTATTTTTATACGGGAATCTCTCGAGATTTCATGCGTTTCTTATTGAAAAAAAAAATACTGCCATTAGGGACGAGCCTATCTGGTATTTTTATGTTTCTTCCGCTTTACTTGTAACTAAATCATGAAGCCGTGTAAAAGTAAATGCTCCGCCCTATCAACTATACAGGGTGCTCCGCAACTTTCTGACCGCCATTCACGGGAAGATAGAGGGGATTAAGACAAACAGAAAAGTCCTGTACCATTTTGCACTTGGAGGAATAGTTATCCAGATATTGATGTTCAAAAATCGCCGTATTAGCCCAACCTACTGGCAAATGTATGCGCCCGGTGAGATCCGCCCACCTATCGGCCACCGCACGAGGCGGTGCGCGGCGAGTAGGGAGGCGCACCGCTGCCCGTCCGCCACTTACACGACCGCTCGCACAGCGGTCAACTTTTTTCATAAGTCTCCCTATTCCTTTAAACCATAAGTGTGACGGTTACAACAATTTATATAAATTAATATAAAACTTCTGTCATGTCATCACGCGAATGCGACACACTTCGGCCGGCGAGACTCGCAACGGCCAATCGGCATCGCGGAAAAGCGGCAACAATACGAGCGCGACCGAGAACGCACTTCGGGCGTTTCATGCATTTTTTTTATCGTGGAGGATACGATGGAATACATTTAAAGATACGCAGTAACAATGAAATAATGTAGACTCAGGACTAAAAGCTTACAATAATTCACGCTGTAACAAAAAACATTCTTGCAGTCTACTTTACTTATCACAACTTTCCACAGTCTTATTGACTATTGTGTTTAAATAAGAGTGGGTGATGTAAGAAGATGCAGAACAAGATAGGCAGTCTAAAAGTTTATTATCTCCTTTGTTCACCCATGTGTCAAATACTTTCCACGAAATATAATTATAATGTATACCATTACAATATGTCCATTCCTTCCAACCTGGCAAAAGTCTGCACAATACAAAGAAAACGTAATAAAATAGGAGAAAATTTGTATTTTTATGGTCTAGACATAAAGAATAAAACAAAGTATTAAGGTAAGAAAAGGAAAAGAAGTCCAATACAAACGGAAGAGGTAGATTGTGTCACAGATCACAGGTCGAGACGACGTAATATTTAAAAACAATCCACGTGTCGATTCCTCATGGAATTTCTCGTGGGAAAATAGCGCGACATCCGAAGGATTAATATCATGTCTCCTTGTAAATCAGAGATCCCCAATCTACAGCCCAATTTACGGCCAGATTCGACCCGTTAAGATATCAGAAGATATCACGTTTAAATAATTGTTTATATAATTTTTCACATTGTTACTTTGTATAGCTCGTCATTATTTGGCCTTTTCGTTTACTTATTTGTATTCGCACTTAACGAGCATGTCTCTTCTTTTAATATAGTCAATCTTGAGAAGAAGTTCGGAAATTTTGTGCGTAAACTGGTTCTCGAAAAATATGAGCAATACACATTTCCCGTATGAAATTTGGAAAAGCGTTATTCTTCTTCAAGAAAAGCGTCCTTTATAGATTTCGTCCAAATGTGGTGAAAGGACACAAATTGAGTCGATTCTCACGGAGAGATAGACTAAAACAAGGTGTAGAAAATTGACCTTCGTCAGTGCAGCTGCACTCGCGTTACAAATTTTTCGCGTCGATTGCTTCCTCCATTGTTTTCTTCTCTTTTCTAGCTCTGCGAAAAATCTCGCGAAAACTCATCAGAATTTTTACTGCGACGATAATACGATTAGCGTTTATTTTGTTTCTTCAATCGCCATTCGAATACTGTGCTTTCAATAATTGAAAACCGACGGATTCGATAAAAGTTTATCGACGAAACTTTAGTATCCATTGTCGCTGCATCATCTGTTCCGCGATAAAATCCTCGTTTCAGGAACCACGACGTTGACGAGCGCGGCGCAAAAGAATGCGACAAATACTCGACTGGAATTCGTGGCGAGTCGCCGGTGACACACATGCGTGCGCGTAAACACGCGCACACAGAGGCAGTGACGGGTTCACAAGGTCGTCGCTGGAAACGTCAGGATAGCGGGTGGCGCGCAACTGTAGGTTAGAATTCGATTGCGTTTCGTTTACCGCCGCGTTCTGGAAACGGCTTACTCCCGGCCGATTCCCGTGCGAAAGTCAACGATTTGTCCCGCTCAGTCGCGAAGAAATTCACACGATCGGATCGGAGCGGATGACGAAGTCGATGATCTCACCTGTTGGTACGTTGCTCATCTCGATGGTCTCGCGGCGCGAAGTTGGAAAAAATGACGATGCCCTGTCGGCCGTGCAGAAAGGATCGACGTGTCCCAGCGTCACAAATCGGTTCACCAGGAAGCGAACATACGTTCTCCGATACAGCGGAAAGATCGATCGGTTCCGTCTTGACGGCGAGCTGACTGAGCACAGGCGGCCATATTGGAAGCGCGCCTGCTAGTGGTGCCGCGTAGCGAGCGTTCGGTAACACTTCGGGCGACTCGGCGGAGAAATTTGATAACAATAGTCTAATCAGCGGCTATAAATACGCGCTACAAAATTTATATCTTGTTGGTGGATCAGGAATATAAAAATAGAAAATTTATATAAATCGAAGATCATATATGTATGCAATATTAAATTTAATAATAATAAATTTATTAGATTAAGAGTAGTAAAAAACAAAAATTTTTTATTGAAAATTCAGTAAAAGAAATGTATCCCTTTATTACCAAAAAAATGTATTTTTTAGCTTAGTAATTACTCAAAATGTGTAGTTTCAAAAATTAATATAAAAAATCTAATTTTGTTGCTTAATTATTTATTAACTTTTGAAGCACGACTTTGAAACCGTGCACCAACTTTACTGAAGTTATGTAAAATTCCATGTTTTATTTTCACTTTTGATCCAGAAGATAACAAAAATAACGATAGCTTAACTGTGATTGAAAGAGTTTAATTAAAAATGAAAAGTATTAAAAAATACTATTCAGTCTATATGCATACATATATCATGTAAATTCACTAAGGAAGTTTTTTTACCTCAAAAATACCGATGTTCCTGCTTAATTTTTACCCTACTTTAAAGAAAACTCGGTTTTTTAATCTCTAGTAATTTAAAATATCTGAAGACTATAAGCGAGTTATTAGATAATTTCATTCTACTCCACAAAATTTGCAATTCACAATTATTAATAATTTTTTACCTTCCTTTTTTAATTGTTCCCAATTAGCAAATTACTTTCTATGTGATAAGGTCGAGTCAACTGCGGAATAGATGAGAATTAATTAGCACGGCGAAAATTCCTTTTTTAACAACATTTATTTCTAATATGCCTATTGTCTATGTACAGTTACACATCGGCGTGATCTATGCAACGCAAAACACAACGAGTCCCTACAAGCTACGTGCGCGATTGTTAACAATAATAAGGTCCTTAGACGTGACACGGGTGATCGTACACCGTAGGGTACGATCGTCGTCAACGTATAAATGATTCGCGTCGCCGTTCCCTCGTGGAAGCATAGAAATTCTATGTCAGATACCAGATATGTGTACTCGTATATTTATATCGTAAACTCGCCCGTGGTTGACGCGCTCGTCTGCCCGAAGGCAGCGCGATTCCGCTTATCAGTCGGTCGACTTTATCGTATCCACAGAACTCGAGCCGGAGCAGCGCGCGCCGAACGATCCGGTGGGATTATAATTCGAGGATCCGAATTCCAAATCATACCGGATTCCAAAAGTACCATACAACAAACATCCCAACTCCAGAATTATAAGCTATGCCGTGAAAGGAAGCTGCACCGCTTTTTCACCCACTTTGTCTTTCACCTCTCGCCTCCAATCCTTTGCAAAATGCGTCTATCGATTGCCATGTTTCTTTTTCCTTGGAGAGGAAAGGGATCGCACTGGGGATCAATTGATTACGAGATCGTTTCTGGCTTCTTCCGCGCATGGCTTAGAATTCAGATGATTTTTCACGGTTTGAAACACACTCGGCTCTTCGAGAACCTCAAATTATTGTCGCCCTTCCTAATTAAGCCTGTCAACGCACACACGACACGCAACATATCTGTTCTAGGAAGCGTCTATTCGCGCAAAAGATACATTTACCTGGAAGCAGTAACATAGTATATTCGGCAAATATATGCTGGATTCCCTTTGCGCCATTTGACTCGCGAAGTTTCAGTCTTTCCCTGAAGTCACTGATATTCCCCTCAGATTTTTCCCGCGGAACTATTTAATTTCCATAGATATGTGGAACCTTATAGCATCCGCGGCGCCAACACGTGCGGCTCTCGCTTCTTTCCAACATGGCGTCTCGCAGGCTGGCTGGGGTTTGGCGATTGTTCCAGATTGGAAATCGAAAGTAACCCGAACGTATAAAGTCTGCGATAAATAATTATTGCTCGATTGATACGAAGCTGTCGCGAAGAATCGTTCGGCCCTAATCTTGGTACAGGTGTATCATACACAGTCGCTGTATATTTACACGAAGGTCTACAACATTCCTGCTCAAAGAGTCCGATCGAATCACACGAAAGAAAATCGATTCGATCTCATTTTTTATGTTCTCAGATTATTCTATATCTGTAGATAAGTCTTCTATCTTCCTTTCTATCTTGTTTTCACTGTTAAAAAATGATTCTTCGATTTAAACGTCAGATTGCGCTCTCGATAAGATACAAGATTTCCTCTACGTTTTAATTACGTATAGTTTTGATATAAACATACAAGAATATTCTTGGATATAGAACTAAGTCCGATTCTCGTATTAACGTCAAAACGTAATTTGTTTGAATTGACAGATCGATAGGAAAGCGTTTAATACGCGGATAAATATTTGTGGTGGTTTAATTGAGAAACCTGGACTAAAACGACAGTCTGCGATGAAATTACATAGACTGTCCCTAAAAGGAAAGTCCCTAAGTCACCCCAAACTTAGGAACATCCTGTATAAACTTCAAATCAGCTTCTGCCATCTCTCACTGGCTTCTTCAAGCAGGGATACTACGCGAGAATCGCCTTTCCGGTTGTCCAACTTGGCCTCTTATAAAAATAGTGTCGGAGAACAGGAAGCGCGAATCAATGATATAATCGAACGTTCGGAAACTACAAGTTCTGATTTTCAGAGATTGATTTTCGAATAATGTCCATTTGTATCCTCGATTCGCTACCTTCCTACGTCGAAAAGCGTGGGAATAAGTTCCCAGCGACTCGTCGAGTTCCAACTTCGCGCTCGAAGAATGTCGCGCGCACAAGATCTGCTTTTAATTACTTTACACAAAGACATCGATCTCTAATGGCATCTATTACCGATCTACGCACCTGTCCTCTTAGGCAACTTATTTGCAATTTTGCACTAACGACGCCCAATTGTCGATCCTCGCCGGCGTCGGTTGCGTGCTAATGGAAGTTAACGAGCCCCGTCTTCATTAAAAGATGTCCTCGACATCGGCGTAATTACGGTCCCAATATCCGCCAAGGAACGTCCAATCTTCCTGGCCCGTGTAAGGATTCGTGCCGGCTTGGAACCACCTGTAGACGTATATTTTCTAAGTCGTCAAGTCGCATTAGACGTCAGAGATTATTAATCTCTAATTGTTTCAAGCCGTTAAATTCCATAATGCGCAATTTTATTTAAAGCAGTTGTGCTTTTGGAAAGCTGCGGATTAATACTAGAAATAATATAATAATTTAACGCTCGATAATTACATATCGTAAGGGAAGAGCATGTATTATTAACACCTCAATGTCATTTAAATTATAGGATCTTTCGAAAATATAATTCTGGAAATTATTGAATTAAGTTCCGTTTCTCAAGTATGAGCAAAAATGCCGTTTCCAAGTAAAACAATTGGTTATACCTGGGAACATACTCGTTTCCCTTCTTCTGCTTGCGCGCTTTGCGGGAATTCCTCTGTTTTTCCTCAAGCCTGGCCTTCTCAGACGCAGCCCCATCCTGATCGCCGTTCTCCAGCTTGCGAATATCCGGTCTCAGTCTGGAGTCAGTCGGGCAAAGGCTTTCTCTCATATCAGGCTCCAGCTCGTTCAGTGACATCGCGAACGTCGTGAACTGATAATACTGCAAATTACGGTTACATCTTTGTATATCATTAAACATAAATCGATGTGCATGAAATAAAACTTACTCTTAATCGAATTGATAGAAGCTAAATAAGAATAAAGAATAATGTAAGAAATAATATGTGCAACGGAATAATTTATTACGAAGACTATTAAAATATAATATATTTGTTTTAAGTTTGAATAAAATTTTTGCAAGGAATTAATCGAATCGTTCGAAGTGTTAGCTTGATTCAACTAACATCCGAACTGTTGCTGGGCCTCGGTGTGGCCTCCCAAAGTGCGATAGATCCTGGAATCTCGTCTACGATCGGAATGTCGTCAACAAATGTACTGCCAAAGGGCTCCTCTATCGCATCCTGCGGATAAGAAAAATATTCATCCTACGTAGTACAATAAATAAAGGAGCTATTTTTAAAAATGAATCGATTTATTCAGTGAAGATTGTTTTTTACCTGATGCAGGGGCTTGAAAGCTCCGACTTTGAGACTGTGGAGCTTCGCCAAGACCTTTTTGTGTCCTGGACTTCCCTGCGGACTTTTGGCCTCCAGTTTGATCTTTTCCAGCGTTTCCTCGTACAACGAGGGCTCGCAGGATCGTAAAATCTCGGTCCATTGGCCGTAAAGGAAAAGTAACTTTCTTTTTCTAAACAAACAAGGAACGTGTAGTAACAACAATGAAATATTTTGTTTCATTATATTAAGAACATTTTTTTCCTTTGTATTCCCATCTAATTGACTTTAATTAAAGTTTACTCTTGATTCGTTATAAATCCCTCGACGCGATGGACGTCCTTGCCATTCAGGGTGCTTTTAATGAAACACAACTTAGCTTTCAAGTCATCTCCTCCGTGCTGCCTGATCTCCAGAGGGCCTGATTGCTCCATCCACAATTGACCCACCAAGACATTGTGAAGGATGCAATTGACATTTTGCCAAGTGTAAGACTCCTTCCATCTGTTCGAGTGTGATCATTAATACATCGAACATCTAGATAGTCTCGATCCTTAGAGTTTTTATAATATTTTTCATTCTTTGGTAGAGGAAAGTCCCCTATTATGAGACAAGCGCCTAATGTTAGATAGCAGGATTTCTGCTAAATTAACAGGCATCATCTGTTGGTTCCACCAATTTATTGCCCTTTGAGTGAAATCTGTTTAGTGCAAAATTGTTAGATGATGTAATCGTTGCGAAAAGAAGATCTGTGATTAAATTTAGATGTTGAAAACCTGCTACCTCATATTAGAAGTCTGTCCCGTAACAGGGGACATTTCTCTAATAATTAATTTGCACTCTCAACAAAAGATCTTCTTGCTTTCTTAACTTTCAGTGATAATGAAGTTAGATGAATATTGAGAAAACAAAAGAGACAATTGACAAAAATAATTAACATTAAACAAAGTAAATAGCCACGATACTGGAATGTAAACATGTAAAAATGCAATATTGGTATATAAGTTAGCTAATTGTGATTGTATTTATTAACTAACTTGGGTAATTCGACCGTGACAACCCCTTTCGGGTGCACCTCCAGTGATTTCCCCCAGAATTTCAATTTAGGATGGATGCTGCCGTGAAAGATGAAGTCCTCGCTGTCAGCGTAAAACGCGGACACCGGTGGATGATGCGAGACCTGTTCGCATATTATCCTGAAGAAGAGATTCGAAGAAAAAAATAACTTCCAGAGAAAAGGAGAAATAACAGATTGGCTAATAAAATTAATAATTGGTAGATAAAATTAAGAATTAGTTGATAAAATAATATCAAGCATGGTGAGTCAACTTTAACTGGAAATAACAAATTGTTACTAATGAATTGATAAATACAATTAATGTGAAGCAGTTAATTACCGGAAGTCCTCGCGCTGTAATTCGTACGTTTCGCCCAAAATTGGATTGAAAGGTTTTCCAAAGCGCTCCCAGTTCGAAGCGAGGGCACTCACAGCGAAAGCCGCAACGTACTGCGTAATCATTAATTTCGTTTATTAATAGTGCTGGGTGGATTATTGATTTATCATCTCGATTGAATTTATAAGGGCAATTTCTCGCGAACCTGAAGCCTCAAGACCGGCGATTCCTGCTGAGATGCTTGCTTGAGCAATATGGCATATTCCATATATTCCGCGACGCGTTGCAGGAAAGAGAGGGGCTCGTTGAAGATGACCGGCATGCTGGTCTTGCTGATGTCCTTGCCCAGCTGAAGCGTCATTGAGCAGAGATTTACTTCGGAGTGACCCGGAACTGGTAACGATGTTCTTGGAAAGTAAAACGTGCTACGATAAAAATTTGAGCGAAAGAAACAATTTTTCTAAAGATGGTTCAATTTTAGCTCATACAAATTTGGCGAAAAAACGAAACGATGATTTCTCAGAACTCCGAATTTTCGAGTATACTTGCACTTTTTAACGCGACTGAAAATTTTCGAAGTCTCAAAAAATATCTATAGATCGATGAATTTAAACATTCGGCGAATATTTATATACTGCCAACCTGTAACGTCCCGGTATCCTTTCGTTGGCCATTGTAAGAGTCTCCCGTGGCTATCGAGCGCCCCGACAACGGCAGGAGCCTTCAATCTGTCGTTCTTGTGAGTCGATACTTCGATTTCCACTAACATCGACCAGTAATTATGAGGCTTTATCAGAAGATACGTGAGAATTCGAATTATTTGACCACATTTTTCGCTGGAAATTTGACAGAAAGTTTGCAGCTCTTCAAATCCCTTCGAAATCCCCCCAAATTCCTAAGCAGATTATTGGCGACTTAAAGGATTACGCGGTATACGGTTTCAGATTTACAGTGCAATTTTAGAAATCGAAAATTTTATATAAAAACTTGTCTGTCAGGTATTTGAAGATATCAGTTCTGTATCGAAATTCCAAACTTGACAGTTGAGTTTTTTTTAGAAATAAAAGCAAGCCGGTTCTCGGATTTTCAAAGAATACAATACATTAAAATCCCTTTAGAAACATATAATTTCAAGTGTACAGATAAATCCCTTGGAAGATCTATTTGTGTTGGCCAGAAGTGATGTTTAGATAGTTCGATCCTCGGAGTTCTGAATCGTCGAATTGTGTAGATGAATCCTCGGATTGTTCAGGGATTCTTTGATCTTCCGTGGCGCAAATGGAACGAGGGGGGAGAGGGGAGCGCGGTATCTCTAAATGGACCGTCCGGTTCTCCAGAGAGAAAGAGCCTTGTCTCGCTAGCTTGGTGACATCCCGGCAATTATTCCGATTAGCTCTGGAGCCGCGGATGATGCCACACGCGGAGGATTTTCGCGACCGTTCGACACTCGTCGTCACTCGCTCATGGCGGTCGGGAATTTTTGGAGAACGAGATCGCCAAGACCGGAAGCCACACGACGTTGTTTCAGCTTCGTCTCACGATCAGCTGTACAATTGAAGACTGTTGAGCCTGCGGGCGTGACGGCGAGCTCCCCCTTTGCTTTTGGAGCAAATATCAATAAATCCGAGCATGACCGTTGAGCTCCCGAGGATTTCCGTTGGGACGACCGACTGATTCGCTCGTGAGGAACGATATAACGGCAAACTCAAAAGATTTTCTTAAAAGCGATGTCTCAAATGTCAATGAAGTTTCAACATAAATGTGATAGACTTTTAATTTTTCAGATACAACCTTATAATTTTTTCTTCTTTTCGAGTAAAATGCACGGCGAATTAATAAAATAATAGAAATTAAAAGTAATATTGTATAAAAAAAAATAATTAAAAGTCGTCTTTAATTTTTCAGGGTTTATCGATTGAAGTTTGAGGAATTAATTCGGGGGAAATTTATAGCTGTTGATAAATGATTTTCTGAAACGTGTTTTTATTTTAAAATAGAGAAAAAGCGCCTTAGTGTGGATGAAGAGCGAAATATTTTTTTTACGTTTTTATTCCAGCGGCTCATTAAATTTTAATTAATTCAATTAATACGTAATACCAAGGACTGCATCATTCCGATTTAACGTACGGAGTTATATATACACAAAAATCAATAAATGCGAAGGCGGAAGGGCAAAGTTTCAACAACGTGAACGAGCACGTGAAACACCCGCGATTGAAAAAGACGTCGTATCACGCAATCAAGCGGTCTGCGTGGAAAATACGGGATGAATTTAATTAACGCATACCCCCATACATATGCAATGTCGAGACCACAATGCTGCCCTTATCGCGCGCAATCCACCCGATAAAATTGGCGCCAGACACGAAGAGCATTCACCAGAGAACCGTTGAGAATGCAAAGATCTTAACTGATAAAAGATACTTTAAACAACAAACCGTATTCCGAAGTCTGAAACTGCACCTTCGCGTCTTTTTAATCTTTCTTGCTTCAATGCTGGTAGTTCGTTAAATAAATCTGTGGCCAGCCGATGTTTCGGCAACGTGCAATACCTACGGCAGATCAAATGTGACCCGTTATAGG